TGGGATTACAGGCTTGAGCCACCGCGCCCGGCCCCTTTTTTTTTTTTTTTTTTTTTGAGGCAGAGTTTTACTCTTGTTACCCAGGCTGGAGTGCAATGGCGCGATATCGGCTCACCGCAATCTCCGCCTCCTGGGTTCAGGCAATTCTCCTGCCTCAGCCTCCTGAGTAGCTGGGATTACAGGCACGCACCACCATGCCCAGCTAATTTTTTGTATTTTTAGTAGAGACGGGGTTTCACCATGTTGACCAGGATGGTCTCGATCTCTTGACCTCGTGATCCACCCGCCTCGGCCTCCCAAAGTGCTGGGATTACAGGCTTGAGCCACCGCGCCCGGCCCCAGACAACTCTTTTAATTCAATATAAAGTCATTGAGGGAGCACCTTTAATATGAAAGACTGTGGAATGATTCAAAACTAAATAACTCTTTTTAAAAAATATACAAGTATTCCTTACATAAAAATATATTACCATGATAGCATATTTTCACACCTAAAAAATTAACAATAATTTTTGGCCCGGCGCGGTGGCTCAAGCCTGTAATCCCAGCACTTTGGGAGGCCGAGGCAGGTGGATCACGAGGTCAAGAGATCGAGACCATCCTGGTCAACATGATGAAACCCCGTGTCTACTAAAAATACAAAAAATTAGCTGGGCATGGTGGCGCGTGCCTGTAATCCCAGTTACTCAGGAGGCTGAGGCAGGAGAATTGCCTGAACCCAGGAGGCGGAGGTTGCGGTGAGCCGAGATCGCACCATTGCACTCCAGCCTGGGTAACAAGAGCGAAACTCCGTCTCAAATAAAAAAAAAAAAAAAAAATTAATAATTTTTAATATTATCAACTATTCAATCACTATTCAAATTTTTTTTTTTTTTTTTTTTTTTTTTAGACGGAGTTTCGCTCTTGTTGCCCAGGCTGGAGTGCAATGGCGCGATCTCGGCTCACCGCAACCTCCGCCTCCTGGGTTCAGGCAATTCTCCTGCCTCAGCCTCCCGAGTAGCTGGGATTACAGGCACACGCCACCATGCCCAGCTAATTTTCAGTATTTTTTAGTAGAGACGGGGTTTCACCATGTTGACCAGGATGGTCTCGATCTCTTGACCTCGTGATCCACCCGCCTCGGCCTCCCAAAGTGCTGGGATTACAGGCTTGAGCCACCGCGCCCGGCCCAATCACTATTCAAATTTGATTTAAACGTTGTGATTGATGGACATGTCTAAGTCTCTTTTAATGTATTTGTATTTTCAGTAGAGACAGGGTTTCTCCATGTTGGTCAGACAGGTTTCGAACTCCTGACCTTAGGTGATATGCTTTCCTCAGCCTCCCAAAGTGCTGGGATTACAGGCGTGAGCCACTGTGCCCAGCCCAAGACTTTTTTTTTCTGGAGATGGAGTTTCGCTCTTGTTACCCAGGCTGAAGTGCAATGGCGTGATCTCCGCTCACCGCAACCTCCGCCTCCTGGGTTCAAGCAATTCTCCTGCCTCAGCCTCCCGAGTAGCTGGGACTACAGGCATGTGCCACCATGCCCAGCTAATTTTTTTGTATTTTTAGTAGAGATGGGGTTTCAACATGTTGACCAGGGTGGTCTTGATCTCTTGACCTCGTGATCCACCCGCCTCAGCCTCCCAAGTGCTGAGATTATAGGCATGAGCCACTCTACACCTGGCCTAGCCCAAGACTTTTTAAAAAAACTTTTTAGGGCTGGGCACAGTGGCTAACACTTATAATCCCAGCACTTTGGGAGGCCGAGGTGGGCGGATCACCTGAGATGGGGAGTTCGAGACCAGCCTGACTAACATGGTAAAACCCTGTCTCTACTAAAAATACAAAGAAAGCCCAGGCGTGGTGGCTCGTGCCTGTAATTCTAGCACTTTGGGAGACTGAGGCGGGTGGATTACTGGAGTTCAGGAGTTCAAGACCAGCCTGGCCAACATGGTGAAACCCCATCTCTATTAAATATACAAAATTAACTGGTTGTTGTGGTGTACACCTGTTATCCCAGCTACTCAGGAGGCTGAGGCAGGTTCACTTGAACACTGGAAGCAGAGGTTGCAGTGAGCCAAGACTGCACATTGCACTCCAGCCTCGGCAAAAATTGCAAAACTCTGTCTCAAAAAAAAAAAAAAATACAAATACAAAGAAAATTAGCCAGGCATGGTGGCAGGTGCCTGTAGTTCCAGCTACTTGGGACCCCTTGCTGTTTGGAAATAAGCATGATGGTAATTGTCTTTCACATACCCTAATTACCTATTTTTAGTGGACAAGGAAGTTATGTTCTCCTATACTATAAAACTATTAACATATTGAAACTATAAGAATATTTATTTTAATTGACTAACTTGTTTTTTTTTTGTTTTTTTTTTTTTTTTTTTTTTTTTTTTTTTTTTTTTTGAGACGGAGTTTCGCTCTCGTTACCCAGGCTGGAGTGCAATGGCGCGATCTCGGCTCACCGCAACCTCCCTCTCCTGGGTTCAGGCAATTCTCCTGCCTCAGCCTCCTGAGTAGCTGGGATTACAGGCACGTGCCACCATGCCCAGCTAATTTTTTGTATTTTTAGTAGAGATGGGGTTTCACTATGTTGACCAGGATGGTCTCGATCTCTTGACCTCGTGATCCACCCGCCTCGGCCTCCCAAAGTGCTGGGATTACAGGCTTGAGCCACCGCGCCCGGCCTGTTTTTTTTTTTTTTGAGACGGAATTTCGCTCTTGTTACCCAGGCTGGAGTGCAATGGCGCGATCTCGGCTCACCGCAACCTCCTCCTCCTGGGCTCAGGCAATTCTCCTGCCTCAGCCTCCTAAGTAGCTGGGATTACAGGCATGCGCCACCACGCCCAGCTAGTTTTTTTGTATTTTTAGTAGAGACGAGGTTTCACCATGTTGACCAGGATGGTCTCGATCTTTCGACCTCATGATCCACCCGCCTCGGCCTCCCAAAGTGCTGGGATTACAGGCTTGAGCCACCGCGCCTGGCCTCGACTAACTTGTTTTTCTTCAAGCTGTTAACCTGTAGAGGGCAGCGTTCTGTAAAGCTGAGAAGCCTGACCAATAGGATTTTGATATTTCAGAGGTTATATCGTAGCATCGAGGCTTCCTAAGTGTCTTGATAGTCTTTGTTACATGTGCTTGTGAATGAGATTTTGGGTTGCTGCACTGAAGAGACTGGACTTAATTTTCTTACTCCCCTGCTCATGCCATTTGAGGTCTCCACTTCTTCCTCTGGTACTTTGTTTTGGTTAGTGAAATGCCAAATGCTAAAATAGGGGGCTGTTAGGTCTTGATCATTGCCTAGTATCAAAACCTATGTGAAACATTGAGCCATTTAGATTTTTGTTTTGCAGATTGTTTGGATATCTGAGAGTGAGGCAGTGTGAATGGGAAGGTTAGTCAAGGAACAGAAGATAAATTTAGACTCAATAGCTGGGCACGGTGGCTCACGCCTGTAATCCCAACACTTTGGGAGGCTGAGGCGGGTGGATCACGAGGGCAAGAGATCGAGACCATCCTGGTCAACATGGTGAAATCCCGTCTCTACTAAAAATACAAAAAATTAGCTGGGCATGGTGGCGCATGCCTGTAATCCCAGCTACTCAGGAGGCTGAGGCAGGAGAATTGCCTGAACCCAGGAGGTGGAGGTTGCAGTGAGCCAATATCGTGCCATTGCACTCCAGCCTGGGTAACAAGAGTGAAACTCTGTCTCAAAAAAAAAAAAAAATTAGACTCAATAGATTGGGTTCATATATTCTAGATAAAATAAGAAATGTAAAGGGCTTTTTGTATCTTTAATTTTTTTTTTTTTTTTTTTTTTTTTTTTGAGACGGAGTTTCACTCTTGTTACCCAGGCTGGAGTGCAATGGCGTGATCTCGGCTCACCGCAACCTCCGCCTCCTGGGCTCAGGCAATTCTCCTGCCTCAGCCTCCTGAGTAGCTGGGATTACAGGCTTGAGCCACCGTGCCCGGCCATCTTTAGTATTTTTAATCTTCCTGATCAAACTTCAGTTTTGGCTTGGAAATATCTGGGTTTTTTAGAAACATTTTAAGCTGTTCTTTATGGGTTTGCCAAAGCGAGAGCAATCCAGTTCTGAGTCACAGGAGAGTCATTAATTACATATGTGTGGTCTTGGAAAAAATCATTTCATTACAAAGTTTTTCTATAGGTATGTTATTGAAAAACAGGAATAATAGCAGTAGTTTCCTGTACTTTAGCTTTGTCTTATGAATTACATATTACAATGAAAAAAACAATGAAGTAAAAGTTTGAAAGTCAGCATTCTTTTTTTTTTTTTTTTTTTTTTTTTTTTTGAGACAGTCTTGCTCTGTTGCCCAGGCTGGAGGGCAGTGGCTCAATCTCCTCCTCCTGGATTCAAGTAGTTTTTGTGCTTCAGCCTCCTAAGTAGCTGAGATTACAGGTGCATGCTACTGTGCCTGGCTAATTTTTGTACTTTTAGTAGAGATGGGGTTTTGCCACGTTGGCCAGGCTGGTCTTGAACGCCTGATCTCAAGTAATCCGCCTGCCTTGGCCTCCTAAAGTGCTGGGTTTATAGGTATGGCCCGCTGTGCCTGTGAAAGTCAGTATTCTATTGCTAGTCATGTCAGCTAGGGGTGGTAGCTTATGCCTATAATCCCAGCACTTTGGGAGGCCAAGCCAGGAGGATCACTTGAATCTAGGAGTTCAAGACCAGCCTGGGAAACACAGCAAGACACTGTCTATACTAAGTTTTTGTAAAATTAGCCAAGCTTTGGGGCATACACTTGCAGTCCTAGCTACAGTCCTAGCTGCTCAGGATTTCTTGAGCCCAGCAGTTTGAGGTTGCAGTGAGCCATGAGCTTACCATTGCACTCTGGCATGGGTGACAGAGTGGGACCCTGTCTTAAAAATAATAATGCTAGTCATGCCACTAAATAAGTATGTCATTCTGTGGAACATCTCCTGAGAGGCATTTGAGAAAACAGATGTGAAGAAATAATTAATGAATACTTATTTATGCATATGTTCCTGGCAGGTGCTGTTGGCTGCAGCGGTCTGCACAAAAGCAGGAAAGGCCATTGTTTCTCGCCAGTTTGTGGAAATGACCCGAACTCGAATTGAGGGCTTATTAGCAGCTTTTCCAAAGCTCATGAACACTGGAAAACAACATACGTTTGTTGAAACAGAGAGTGTAAGATATGTCTACCAGCCTATGGAGAAACTGTATATGGTGCTGATCACTACCAAAAACAGCAACATTTTAGAAGATTTGGAGACCCTAAGGCTCTTCTCAAGAGTGGTAAGAGTACTGCTGTAATACCGGGTTCCACTTCTTGTTTTACATTTTGTGTGAAACTATTTTTTCCTCCAAAGCAGCTGATGCTTATTAGTTTGCAGGCTCCTACTTCCCACCCCAGTGACTTACGCTGCAGCTCCTTGTTTATTCTGCAGACATTTATTGGATGTCCCCTTAGACTATAGGTATCCCAAAAGATTATGGGAACTGCTCTTTTATTTCCTAGTTCTTAAGCAGTTATTCTAATCTGCTTTTCTGGTTCTGACACTTGCTTGGCTGTGCTTTTTAGATAATGTTTTTTAGATAAGACTTACTGACATAGACACACACACACACACACACACACACACACTCACTCTCTCTCTCTCTCTCTCTCTCTCTCTCATTCTCTCTCTCTCTACTTTATACCAAGGTCTTGCTTAAAATGAAGACTAAGGCCAGGTGTAGTAGCATGTGCCTGTAATCCAGGCACTCAGGAGGCTGAGGAAGAAGGATTGCTTGAGGCCAGGAGTTAGAGTGAATAGGCATTATTCTTTAATGTGGGCAACAAAGCAAGACCCTGGCTGGGCGCGGTGGCTCAAGCCTGTAATCCCAGCACTTTGGGAGGCCGAGGCGGGTGGATCACGAGGTTGAGAGATCGAGACCATCCTGGTCAACATGGTGAAACCCCGTCTCTACTAAAAATACAAAAAACTACCTGGGCATGGTGGCGCATGCCTGTAATCCCAGCTACTCAGGAGGCTGAGGCAGGAGAATTGCCTGAGCCCAGGAGGTGGAGGTTGCGGTGAGCCGAGATCGCGCCATTGCACTCCAGCCTGGGTAACAAGAGCGAAACTCCATCTCAAAAAAAAAAAAAACAAAGCAAAGCAAGACCCTGATTCTTTTTTTTTTTAAGATGGAGTCTCACTCTTTTGCCCAGGCTGAAGTGCAGTAGTGTGATCTTGGCTCATTGCAACCTCTGCCTCCCAGGTTCAAGTGATTCTTTGGCCTAAGCCTCCCAAGTAGCTGAGATTACAGACCCTGATTCTTACAGCCGGGCACGGTGGCTCATGCCTGTAATCCCAGCACTTTGGGAGGCCAAGATAAGCGGATCACCTGTGGTCAGGAGTTTGAGACCAGTCTGGCCAACATGGTGAAACCCCGTCTCTACTAAAAATACAAAAATTAGCTGGGTGTGGTGACGCACACCTGTAGTCTCAGCTACTCTGGAGGCTGAGGCAGGAGAATCGCTTGAACCTGGGAGGCAGAGATTATAGTGAGCTGAGATGGCACCACTATACTCCAGCCTGGGCAATAGAGCGAAACTCCACCTCAAAAGAATAATAAATAGCTGAGTGTGGTGGCTCACACCTGTAAGCCCAGAACTTGGGAGGCCAAGACTGGCAGATTATGAGATCAGGAGATCAAGACCATCCTGGCCAACATGGTGAAACCACGTCTCTATTAAAATATAAAAAAATTTAGCTGTGCGTGGTGGCACGAGCCTGTAGTCCCAGCTTCTCAGGGAGCCTGAGGCAGGGGAATCGCTTGAACCCAGGAGGTGGAGGTTGCAGTAAGCCAAGATCACGTTACTGCACTCTAGTTTGGTGACAGAGCAAGGGTCTGATTCAAAAAGATAAAATAAATACTTGAAGTAGCTAATGAAGGGATTCAAGTTAATTGAAATTTGTATATTTTAAAGGGTAAGACTTGGAAGTATAGCTGCTGATAAATTCTAAATATTTTTTTAATTGCTGCCCATGATTAGATCCCTGAATACTGCCGAGCCTTAGAAGAGAATGAAATATCTGAGCACTGTTTTGATTTGATTTTTGCTTTTGATGAAATTGTCGCCCTGGGCTACCGGGAGAATGTTAACTTGGCACAGATCAGAACCTTCACAGAAATGGATTCTCATGAGGAGAAGGTGTTCAGAGCTGTCAGAGAGGTAAATGGGATCTTCTCTGGGACTATCAGTTTGTGTGCCTTTCTCTTAGGCTTTACTAATCTGATTTTCCTATTTTTACTTGCTAATGTAGATTATATTCAAAGCTACATCCAGGCTGGGCACAATGGCTCATGCCTGTAATCCCAGCACTTTGGGTGGTGGAGGCAGGAGAATCACTTGAGTCCAGGAGTTCAAGACCAGCCTGGATAGCATAGTGAGACCCTGTCTCTATAAAAAAATAAAAAAATAAGCCAGGCATGGTGGCATGTGCCTGTGGGTCCCAGGTACTTGGGAGACTGAGGTGGGAGGATCACTTGAGCCCAAGAAGTTGAAGCTGCAGTGAGCCGTGATCGTGCCACCTGCACTCCATCCTGGGTCACAGAGTGAGACCCTGTCTCAAAAAAAAAAAAAAAAAAAAAAGCCACATTCATGTATGTCTCTTTGTAGACTCAAGAACGTGAAGCTAAGGCTGAGATGCGTCGTAAAGCAAAGGAATTACAACAGGCCCGAAGAGATGCTGAGAGACAGGGCAAAAAAGCACCAGGATTTGGAGGATTTGGCAGTTCTGCAGTATCTGGAGGCAGCACAGCTGCTATGATCACAGAGACCATTATTGAAACTGATAAACCAAAAGTGGCACCTGCACCAGCTAGGTATAATCCAGTGTATTACCAGCAACTTTAGAATGCCAGATGAGGGGTGTATATATGTGTATCTTCGAAGTGATAATTTGGTTTCTTGCAAAGCTGTAAATAATGAAGGACTTGATGAAGAAAGATATGATATTACATTTGGCTGCATAAAATTTGAGGATAAAGAAGAAATCTGAATGTGATGTTTTTCCTTTTGTGTAAAAGAGAGTTATAAATTATATCATGTCCTCAGTTTCCTATGAGGGTTGCCTTATTATGGGGAGGAAAGGGATATTTAATGGTTTATGGAATGTAGATTTTTAATCTTTTTCATGGATTGATTTTAGGGGAAATCTATGAATTACCTGAAATTATATGCAAAATTTTTGGTACACAGGTATATTTCTCTGGATGAAAGATATAAAGTTTTCATCAGATCATGTGTGCTTGTAAAAATATACCTTTCAGTAATGTATATCAAATCCTTCCACTTAGGCCTTCAGGTCCCAGCAAGGCTTTGAAACTTGGAGCCAAAGGAAAGGAAGTAGATAATTTTGTGGACAAATTGAAATCTGAAGGTGAAACTATCATGTCCTCCAGTATGGGCAAGCGCACTTCTGAAGCAACCAAAGTGCATGCTCCACCCATTAATATGGAAAGGTAAGTAGGACTTTGAATACGAATTCAGTCTTTGAATACAGTCCACATGATTTTTTTTTTATTCTACTTATTAACATAAGGTCATTTTTGGTTTTGTTTTGCTTTATTTTTTTTGAGACAGGGTCTTACTATATTGTCTAGGCTGGCTTCCAACTCCTGGGCTCAGTTAATCTTCCTGTCTCAGCCTCCCACGTAGCTGGGATACAGGCATGCGTTGCTGCACCTGATCTTTTTCTCTTTCCTTTAACCATGATTGGGGGCCCCCAGCTACCTATTTTCTATGAAGTTTAGAACTTGCCTTTTGCAGCTAAATTAAACAAAAGTTACTTGTATTCATGCCTAGTATATAACTTATCTCTTAGAAAGGACTTGAATTGGGGGACTAGAGCTATGGTGACCCCGCACTGTATTTGGCTTGACTTTTTAAAAATGAAACTATAAGTAGAACCTATCTTTAATCTAAAACTTGTAGATATCTTTAAGAGCAAATTAATATAATATATTTTGAATTTTATTTTACTTATTTATTTTTTTGAGATGGGGTTTCGCTCTGTCACCCAGGCTGGAGTGCAGTGGTGCAGTCTAGGCTTGCTGCAACTTCTGCCTCCTGGGCTCAAGTGATTCTCCCACCTCAGCCTCCCAAGTAGCTGGGACTACAGGTGTGTACGCTGGGCTAATTTTTGTATTTTGGTAGAGACAGGGTTTCGCCTTGTTGCCCAGGCTGGTCTCGAACTCCTGGACTCAAGCAATATGCCTGCCTTGGCCTCCCAAAGTACTGGGGTTACAGGTGTGAGTCACCATGCCCAGCCATCTTTTGCAGTTTAAATATTTGAAGCCACTATGAAATATTTTGATTCAACTTTTATCTTGGCTGTGGTACTGGTTGGTGACATTTTTAAGTGGTAGTTATCAAGTTCACATGTTCATGACTCAGATTTCTCATCTTAAATAAAGCCCAGATCTTCTGTTGCTGATGGTTTTGAGGTCAACTGAAAGATAATACTGGGAGGATACCTCTATCAAGTGTACATAAAAGCGGAGTATTTACTTTTTCTTTCTTTTTTTTTTTTTTTTTTGAGACAGAGTCTTGCTCTGTCACCCATGCGGGAGTGCAGTAGCACGATCTTGACTTACTGCAACCTCTGTCTCCCAGGGTCAAACAGTTCTCCTGCCTCAGCCTCCCAAGTAGCTGGAATTACAGGCACATATCATCACGCCTGGCTAATTTTCTTGTTTTTAGCAGAGACAGGGTTTTACCGTGTTGGCTAGGCTGGTCTTGAATTCCTAACCTCAAGTGATCCGCCTGCCTCTGCCTCCCAAAGTGCTAGGATTACAGGTGTGAGCTACCATACCCAGCCAAGTGTTTACTCTTTATATATGCCCTGTTCTGTATGAAATGAGCAGGGTTACATTGGAATAAACTTCTTGACTTGATAAAGCTGCTGTGCTCTTCCTAGTGGTTACTTTGAGTGAAACAGAGTCTTCACACTTTTAAAAAGATGTTCCTGAGTGTGGTGGCTCACGACTGTAATCCTAGCACTTTGGGAGGCTGAGTTGGGTGGATTGCCTGAGCGCAGGAGTTCAAGACCACCCTGGGCAACATGGTAAAACCCCATCTCCATTAAAATACAAAAATTAACCCCTTCTCCACTAAAATACAAAAAAATTAGCTGGGCATGATGACACACGCCTATAGTCCCAGCTACTGAGGAGGCTGAGGAAGGAAAATTGCTTGAATCTTGGAGGCGGAGGTTGTAGTGAGCCAAGATGGCTCTCCTGCACTCCAGCCTGGGTGACAGAGTGAGACGCTCTCAAAAAAAAAAAACAAAAAAACATGTTGGAAACCATCACACATTAAAGAGAATTTAAGACACTCCTTTTTTTCTTTTTTTTTTTTTTTGAGACGGAGTTTCGCTCTTGTTACCCAGGCTGGAGTGCGATGGCGCGATCTCGGCTCACCGCAACCTCCGCCTCCTGGGTTCAGGCAATTCTCCTGCCTCAGCTTCCTGAGTAGCTCGGATTACAGGCACGCGCCACCATGCCCAGCTAATTTTTTGTATTTTTAGTAGAGATGGGGTTTCACCATGTTGACCAGGATGGTCTCAATCTCTTGACCTCATGATCCACTCGCCTCGGCGTCCCAAAGTGCTGGGATTACAGGCTTGAGCCACCGCGCCCGGCCTCTTCTAAATGATAAAATGCCTCTTGAGCACAGAGCAAACTTTTGTGAAGGTAAAATGGTACCATGCATTGTCTTAAGATGCACTCCTTTTTGGTCTTGACTCTGATGCCTTTGTTTCTAGGAAGACCTAAGAGGTTGGAACAGAGAACAGGATAGGATAACAAAATATTCTTTATAGCCTCTGTAGTTTATCCAACCAAAAATATTTCTGTTACTGAATATGAATAGATTATCCTTAATAATTGCCTATAGCAGCAGTACTTTTTAATTTTTTAAAAATTGGATTATACATTCATATAGTACAAAATTCAAAAGGTGATAACAGTCAGAAGTCTTCTCTCGCTCAGCTATGCCAATTTCTCATCTTGAAGACAACTAGTACTTTTTTTTCTTATTTATTTATTTATTTATTTTAAAGATGGGGTTTCACCATGTTGGTCAGGCTGGTCTTGAACTCCTGACCTCAGGTGATCCACCCGCCTTGGCCTCCAAAGTGCTTAGATTACAGGCGAGAGCCACCACTCCCAGCCAAGACAACTAGTATTAACAGGGTTTTTTGTGTATCCTCCTGAGGGGTATGGTCTATGATATATAGATGAATAAAAAACATGTATACAGTATGTCTGTTTTTTCCCTTTTTATGCAAAGCAGTAAAACTAGACACATTTTCCAATTGCATTTTTCACTTAATTATTTCAGAGATAAGAATCTCATTTTGAAAATGCAGGGACATGACATCTAAATGCAATACCTTACCCTAGACTGGATACTTTACTACTGTAGTGTAGAAAAAACAACTCAAACTGGTTTTTTCTATTTTCTCATTCAACAACAATCAATGCAGAAGACTTCTATGATCAAGTGTGTATAGGTTTTTCTGTACACATCAAGCAGTCACATCTAGCCAGTGTCTTCCAATTCATTTCAATTCTGATGCTATCTACCTAGAAGTAGCCTCAGATTCTACATTTTGAGAGTTCAGTCCCCCAAGACTGATTCCTCCTTCCCACCAGTCATAAGTCCAGGCTTTCAGAACTTCTTACTGACCTCAAGTTTGGTCTCCCATGACATGCCCTCTTTGGGTTTAATTAATTTGCTAGAGCATCTCACATAACTCAGGGAAACTTATTTAACATTTACTAATTTATTACAGAGGACATTTTAAAGGATGCAAATAAGCAGCTAGCTGAAGAGATACATAGGACAAGGTCTAGGAGGGTCTTGAGCACAGGAGCTTCTGTCCCCAGGGAGTTGGGGTGCGCCACCCTCATGGAAAGCAGATGAGACCTTGTTCACCTTCCTGTAAGCCTCCATGTGTTCAGCTGTCCAGAAGCTTCCCAGACCCTGTCCTCTTGAGCCTTTTATGGAGACTTCACTGGATAGGCATGATTGACAAGCATGCAGAAATGTGATTGGACAAAGGGTATGACTTAATACTGATAGGCTGAGTGGGGAAACCCAACAAGACCTGTCCAGATTCTTGGCCTCTCTGTGCAGCATTCCTTCCTCCAGGACATGGGGCAAGACTCCTTTTGAAGATTAGAGTCTTGCTTTGGGCTGGTGAGAGGAGGGCAGGAGAAGGTCAAAGAGAGATTCTGTTTTCTGAGGGCTGCTTCTGAGGCCTAAGGTGCTCCAACATTATATATAATAAAAGATATGGGAGCTATGAACCAGGAACCATGGATGAAAACCAGTATGTTTGTATATCATAATATCACAACTACTATTTAAAATACTATTAGGTCGACCAGGCGCGGTGGTTCATGCCTGTAATCCCAGCACTTTGGGAGGCCGAGGTGAGTGGATCACACAGTCAAGAGATGGAGACCGCCGGGCACGGTGGCTCAAGCCTGTAATCCCAGCACTTTGGGAGGCCGAGGCGGGTGGATCACGAGGTCGAGAGATCGAGACCATCCTGGTCAACATGGTGAAACCCCGTCTCTACTAAAAATACAAAAAATTAGCTGGGCATGGTGGCACGTGCCTGTAATCCCAGCTACTCAGGAGGCTGAGGCAGGAGAATTGCTTGAACCCAGGAGGCGGAGGTTGCGGTGAGCCGAGATCGCGCCATTGCACTCCAGCTTGGGTAACAAGAGTGAAACTCCGTCTCAAAAAAAAAAAAAAAAAAAAAAAAAAAAAAAGAGATGGAGACCATCCTGGCCAAGATGGTGAAACCTGTCTCTACTAAAATTATAAAAATTAGCTGGGCGTGATGGCACATGTCTGTAATCCCAGCTACTTGGGAGCCTGAGGCAAGAGAATCTCTTGAGCCTAGGAGACAGAGGTTGCAGTGAGCAGAGATCATGCCACTGCACTCCAGCCTGGCGACAGAGGGAGACTCCATTGCAAAAAATAAAAATAAAAAAAAATATATATATATATATATATTTGTATATATATATATTGAAAATTAGGTCAACTGACTAGATTGACATATGGTTGATAGATAGATAAAATTATTGTATCAGTGGTAGCCAGGCACGATGCCACATGGCTGTTGTCCCTATTGCTCAGCAGGCTGAGGCAGGAGGATCACTTGAGACCGGGAATTAAAGGTTATAGTAAACTGTGATTGTGCTTCTGAATAGCCACTGCACTCCAACCTGGGCAACACAGCATGATTGCTTCAACAATAACAGGCCAGGCATGGTGGCTCATGCCTGTAATCCCAGCACTTTGGGAGGCCGAGATGGGCAGATAGCCCGAGGTCAGGAGTTCAAGACCAGCCTGGCCAACATGATAAAACCCTAACTCTACTAAAAATACAGAAATTAGCTAGGCATGGTGACAGGCGCCTGTAATCCTAGCTATGCGGGCCGCTAAGACAGAATTGCTTGAACCCAGGAGGTGGAGGTTGCAATGAGCCGAGATTATACCATTGTACTCCAGCCTGGACAACAAGAGTGAAACTCGGCTGGGTGTGGTGGCTCAAGCCTGTAATCCCAGCACTCTGGGAGGCCGAGGCGGGTGGATCATGAGGTCAAGAGATCGAGACTATCCTGGTCAACATGGTGAAACCCTGTCTCTCCTAAAAATAAAAAAATTAGCTGGGCATGGTGGCTCGTGCCTGTAATCCCAGCTACTCAGGAGGCTGAGGCAGGAGAATTGCCTGAACCCAGGAGGCGGAGGCTGTGGTGAGCCGAGATTGTGCCATTGCACTCCAGCCTGGGTAACAAGAGCGAAACTCCATCTCAAAAAAAAAAAGAGTGAAACTCTCTCAAAACAACAACAAAAAGCTAAATAAAAGTATCAGTGTAAATTTGTGAAGTTAATATTTGTGATTGATTATGGAAGAGAATATCCTTAATCTTATAATATAAGCACTGAAGTATTTAGGGGTAAGAGCCATGATGTATATAATCTGCTTCATAATTGTTCAGGAAAAAAAATGTATAATGTACATATATAATGTTTAGAGAGAGAGAAACAACAAATGCAAATGATAAAACATGGGGTAAATGTTAACAGGTGAACCTGGAAAAGGGGTATATATGTCTTCCTTGTATAATTTTAATTTTGTGAAGCTTGAAAATTTTTTTTTTTTTTTTTTAGACAGAGTTTCGCTGTTGTTACCCAGGCTGGAGTGCAATGGCATGATCTCGGCTCACTGCAACCTCCGCCTCCTGGGTTCAGGCAATTCTCCTGCCTCAGCCTCCTGAGTAGCTGGGATTACAGGCACACGCCACCATGTCCAGCTAATTTTTTGTATTTTTAGTAGAGACAGGGTTTCACCACGTTGACCAGGATGGTCTCCATCTGTTGACCTCATGATCCACCCACCTCGGCCTCCCAAAGTGTTGGGATTACAGGCGTGAGCCACTGCGCCCGGCTGAAAATGTTTTTAAATAGAAAGTTTTTTCAGTTGTTTGTTTTCTTCTTTTTCTTTTTCTTTTTCTTTTTCTTTTTTTTTTTTTTTATAGAGATGGGTTTCACCATGTTGGCCAGGATGGTCTTGATTTCTTGACATTGTGATCTGCCCGCCTCGGCCTCCCAAAGTGCTGGGATTACAGGCGTGAGCCACCACACCCAGCCCAGTTGTTTGTTTTCTTACCATTGCCTACTATTCATTTGTGTGGATATGCCTTTATTTAAGCAACCCCCGATTGGCAAGACATTTGTTTAAAAACTTTTGCCATTGGCTGGGCGCGGTGGCTCAAGCTTGTAATCTCAGCACTTTGGGAGGCTGAGGCGGGCGGATCACGAGGTCGAGAGATCTAGACCATCCTGGTCAACATGGTGAAACCCCGTCTCTACTAAAAATACAAAAAATTAGCTGGGCATGGTGGCGCATGCCTGTAATCCCAGCTACTCAGGAGGCTGAGGCAGGAGAATTGCCTGAACCCAGGAGGCGGAGGTTGCGGTGAGCCGAGATCGCGCCATTGCACTCCAGCCTGGGTAACAAGAGCGAAACTCCGTCTCAAAAAAAAAAAAAAAAACTTTTGCCATTACAAACAATTCTTCAGTGAATAACTAGCAAATTGTTTTGTACAGATGAGAATTTATCTGTAGGATAGAGTCTTTTGAGGAATTATTGGATCAAAGGGTATAGTGTTTTAAATGTTGATAACTATAGCAGTAGCACCTTTAAAAAAAAGTTGTTGATGGCTAATCATTAGACCCTGGAGAAAGGGAGTTCTGGTTTCTACCTTTCTGAACAAACGTATTACTTTTTCTTTATAGTGTACATATGAAGATTGAAGAAAAGATCACATTAACCTGTGGACGAGATGGAGGATTACAGAATATGGAGTTGCATGGCATGATCATGCTTAGGATCTCAGATGACAAATATGGCCGAATTCGTCTTCATGTGGAAAATGAAGATAAGAAAGGGGTGCAGCTACAGGTGTGGAGAAGCTTTTGATATTGAGTATTAACACTTTGTCTACCCATCATAGTCTTTCTCAACTAGAGTTCTTAATGTGAACCACAGAAAATTATTTAAGTTATATAACTAGCATCACTTTAAATGCATAGGAAAGAAGTTAATTTATTGCATATAGTAGCTACCTGAGAATGAGTAAAGTAGCTATGTTAGGATGGCCTTTTTTTTTTTTTTTTTTGAGATGGAGTTTCGCTCTTGTTACCCAGGCTGGAGTGCAATGGCACGATCTCGGCTCACCGCAACCTCCACCTCCTGGGTTCAGGCAATTCTCCTGCCTCAGCCTCCTGAGTAGCTGGGATTACAGGCATGTGCCACCATGCCCAGCTAATTTTTTGTATTTTTTTTTAGTAGAGACGGGGTTTCACCATGTTGACCAGGATGGTCTCGATCTCTCAAGCTCGTGATCCACCTGCCTCGGCCTCCCAAAGTGCTGGGATTACAGGCTTGAGCCACCGCGCCCGGCCAGGATGGCTTTTAAATACTGGAATTGAATAAAAGGTCATTTTGAAATCTAGTAAATGACTTCATACTCACTAACAGAAGGTACAAAGAGATGTTTATTTTTGCTGTTATGAAAACAGTAAATTAATCACTTAGGATCTTGCTTGAAATATAGTTTTAAAAAAACAAGGCTTTAGGCCAGGTGTGGTGGCTCACACCTATAATACCAGCACTTTAAGAGGCTGATTGGAGGATCATTTGAGCCCAAGAGTTCAAGACCAGCCTGGGCAACATGGGTTGAGCAATGAAACCCTATCTCTATAAAAACTTTAAAAATTAGGCCGGGCGTGGTGGCTCAAGCCTGTAATCCCAGCACTTTGGGAGGCCGAGGTGGGTGGATCACGAGGTCGAGAGATCGAGACCATCCTGGTCAACATGGTGAAACCCCGTCTCTACTACAAATACAAAAAAACTAGCTGGGCGTGGTGGCGCGTGCCTGTAATCCCAGCTACTCAGGAGGCTGAGGCAGGAGAATTGCCTGAGCCCAGGAGGCGGAGGTTGCGGTGAGCCGAGATCACGCCATTGCACTCCAGCCTGGGTAACAAGAGCGAAACTCCGTCTCAAAAAAAAAAAACAAAAACAAAAACTTTAAAAATTAGCCAGGCATGGTGGCTTGATGCAAAATTTACTCCTTTCGTTAAACTACCGGTGCTTGTTTTGTTAACTGAAGGGTATTATCTAATGATATATTTGAAAAGTACATAAAATCTTTTAATATAAATGTGTGTGCTCCAACTATTACATAACATACATACATATATATATATATATGTATATGAGCTCTTTATATTACAGGTGTTCTTGTCACAATTTATTTACCTGGCATCACAAGAACAAATCCTTTTTAGGGAAGAATGTTTTGTCAACTTTCCCCCCACAGTCAGCACAGAGTTGTCTTTTGGAAGTTGTGCTTTTATTATTTGACATTTTTCCTGGTTTGTAAAGTGTATCTAGATTGCTATCCAAAAGTGATTTCTATTTTTATTTTTTTGCTTTTTTGACACAGAGTCTCTGTTGTACAGCACCATGACCTTGGCTCACTGCAGCCTCAACCTTCTGGGCCCCAGCAATCCTCCCATCTCAGCCTCCATAGTAGCTGGGACCACAGGTGCATGCCACCACACCAGCTAATTTTTTTTTTTTTTCTAGAGATGGAGTTTCACTATGTTGCCCAGGCTGGTCTTTAACTCCTGGGCTCAAGAAGCAATACTCTTGCCTCAGCCTCCCAAAGGGCTGGGATTACAGGCGTGAGCCACCATTCCCAGCCAAAATGATGTAATTCTTGGATTTGTGTTTGTTTTTGTTTGAGATAGAGTCTTGCTCTGTCACCGAGACTGGTATGCAGTTGTTTCATCTCAGCTCACTGCAACCTCTGCCTCCCAGGTCCAAACAATTCTCATGTCTCAGCCTCCTGAGTAGCTGGGATTACAGATATACACCACCATGCCCAGCTAACTTTTGTATTTTTAGTAGAGACAGGGTTTTGCTATGTTGGTCAGGCTGGTCTCAATCTCCTCACCTCAGGTGATTCCCCCACTTTGACCTCTCAAAGTGCTGGGATTACAGGCATGAGCTACCATGCCTGGCCCCAGCTAATTTTTGTATTTTTAGTAGACATTGGGTTTTGCCATGTTGGCCAGGCTGACCACAAACTCCTGACCTCAATTGCTGTGCCCACCTCAGCCTCCCTAAATTGATTTAAAAAGATAAGACTTGGCCGGGTGCGGTGGCTCACGCCTGTAATCCTGGCACTTTGGGAGGCCGAGGTGCGTGGATCACCTGAGGTCAGGAGTTCAAGACCAGCCTGGCCATCATGGTGAAACCCCATCTTATATTAAAAAAATAAAAAAATAAAGAATAAGAAAATAAAAATAAAAAGATAAGACAATCTTAATTGGCTTGGATTTTTAACAACTTTAAGTTTCTAGGCAAAATTGCGACTAGGCTTTACACAGAGATTGCCCTTTCCTGGTACTTTATATAAGGCTAGAACTGCTGTCTGACCCAGGCAGCTGATCAGGGTCTGACTGGAGTCTTCTGCTTGACAAGCCTGGTGCCACCATTAACCTGTTCCCTGTGAAGTATTTTTGGAAAGGATTTGGTTAATGGTCTTTTAACTTTTTCAGGTGCAAACTTGTTCTATAGTGGCTTTTAGAGTTAAAATTAGTTTTTAAAAAAATTAACTAGTTTTTAAATATCTTAAATCATTTAAAAAATATTTGAAGAAGGGAAATCTCTTTAAAATGAAAAAGAATTGCAATTTGTTAGGTACTCTATTTTAGATGTTTAGATTGTGGGTCATATAAGCCTAAGGGAGTTGTTTCTTGTCTGTCTGAACCTCAGGAGTTTTCAATTTCCTTCTCATTCTAGACCCATCCAAATGTGGATAAAAAACTTTTCACTGCAGAGTCTCTAATTGGCCTGAAGAATCCAGAGAAGTCATTTCCAGTCAACAGTGACGTAGGGGTGCTAAAGTGGAGACTACAAACCACAGAGGAATCTTTTATTCCACTAACAAGTAAGTGCCTCTGGCCAGTGCCACTAAGTAAGCTAGTTTGCATTGAGAACTAGAATTTGTACACTTTTCTCTTCATTGCCGTAGCAAAGTTCTTTCTGACAAAATGACTTTCTTTTGAAATGACCTGGTGCTGCATTTTGTATATTTTTATAATTAGTTTTCATTTTTAATAGCTTTCCTTTTGAAACCATTGTGGTTTTGTTGTTTATTTTTGTTGTTGTTACTGTTTTAGAGACAAGTTCTTCTGTTGCTTAGGCTGGAGTGCAGTGGGGAGATCATAGCTCACTGCAGCATCAAACTCCTGGGCTCAAGCCATCCTCCTGCCTCAGCGTCTGGAATAGCTCGGACTAGGACTACAGGCACATGTCACCATATCCAGCTAATTTTTTTTTTTTTAAAGACACAGACTCCCTCTGTCACCCAGGCTGGAGTGCAGTGGTGTGATCATGGCTTACTACAGTCTTGAACTCCTAGGTTCAGCTGATCTCCCACCTCAGTCTCCTGAGTAGCTAGGAGAACAGGCAAGTGCCACCACGCCTGGCTATTTTTTTTTTTTTTTTTTGGTAGAGGTGCAGTCTCACTTTATTACCTAGGCTGGTCTTGAACTCATGGCCTTAACCAATTCTCTCACTTTGATCCTAGCACCTTGGTCTTTTAAAGCACTGTGGTTACAGGCATGAGCCACTGTACCCAGCAATCTTTTTCTTATATTCTAGTATGACTGCTTTGCTTTCTCCTCAGTTAATTGCTGGCCCTCGGAGAGTGGAAATGGCTGTGATGTCAACATAGAATATGAGCTACAAGAAGATAATTTAGAACTGAATGACGTGATTATCACCATCCCACTCCCGTAAGTGCTGTCCCCATGTAATCATGTTCCCTGTTCCCTGTGTTGAACTTACAGAACTGGTCTTTTGGAACTCATTTTGGAGTCAGCACCTACCTGACCTAACCATTCAAAGATACTTGCTTCTTTAAAAAGCTAGTTGTGAAAGAAGCCAGATATAAAAGGCTGCATGTTACATGATTTCACTTCTTTGACTTTCTGGAAAAGGTAATACTCTTGAATGGAAATTAGGAGGTAGAGAGGAAGGTACTTCACTTCAGAGGGGCACAAGAGAACTTTTGGGAATGATAGGAGTGTTCTAGGACTTGTGTTTGTTTTGGCAGCACAGGCACTAAAATTGGAGCCATACAGAGATTAACATGCCCCTGTGCAAGGATGACATGCAAGTTTATGAAGCATTTCATATTTATAAATAAAACAAAGGAGCATTGTTTTTTTTGAGACAGGGTCTCGCTCTGTGACTGGAGTCTTGTCATTGGAGGGCACTGGCACGATCTCGTCTCACTGCAGTCTCCACCTCTCAGGCTCAAGCTATCATCCTCCTACCTCACCCTCCAAGTAGCTGGGACTACAGGCACACACCACCCTGCTCGGCTAATTTTTGTATTATTTGTAGAGACAGGTTTTGCCATGTTGTGCAGGCTGATCTCAAACTCCTGAGCTCAAGTGATCTGTCCCCTTGGCTTCCCAAAGTGCTGGGATTACAAGTGTGAGCCACCATGCCCAACCAAGAATTGTTCTATGACTTGATTGTTGTGGTGCTTACTGCATACAGTTGTTGAAATACATTGAGCACTTTCAAAGGGATGGATTTTACTGACTTTAAAACCAAATCAGATGAACAAGCCAGTTGTACTTCTAAGGCTATTTTTATTTTTTTTTTTTTTGAGACTGAGTCTCACTCTGTCACCCAGGCTAGAGTGCAGTGGTGCAATCTTGGCTCACTGCAACCTCCGCCTCGCAGGTTCCAGTGATTCTTGTGCCTCAGCCTCCAGAGTAGCTGGGATTACAGGTATGTACCACCACTCCAAGCTAATTTTTGTATTTTTAGTAGAGATGGGTTTTTTGTTGTTGTTGGTTGTTTGTTTGTTTTTATATATATATATATAAAGACGGAGTTTCACCATGTTGGTCAGGCTGGTCTTGAACTCCCAACCTCAGGTGATCCGCCTGCCTTGGCCTCTAAAGTGCTTGGATTACAGGTGTGAGCCACCATGCCCGGCCTTGATGGGGTTTCACCATGTTGGTTAGGCTGGTCTTTTTTTTTTTTTTTTTTTTTTTTTGTGAGACGGAGTTTCGCTCTTGTTACCCAGGCTGGAGTGCAATGGCGCGATCTCGGCTCACCGCAACCTCCGCCCCCTGGGTTCAGGCAATTCTCCTGCCTCAGCCTCCTGAGTAGCTGGGATTACAGGCACACGCCACCATGCCCAGCTAATTTTTGTATTTTTAGGAGAGACGGGGTTTCACCATGTTGACCAGGATGGTCTCGATCTCTTGACCTTGTGATCCGCTCGCCTCGGCCTCCCAAAGTGCTGGGATTACAGGCTTGAGCCACCGCGCCCGGCCGGCTGGTCTTAAACACCTGGCCTGGTTCTGTTTTTAGATGTTCGTCCTCAGCTTGTTAGTGTAGTAATGAACATTTCCAGAAGGAGGAGCCATTTCTTAGTCAAACTTTCTGTTTTACAGCTTTCAAAAAAAATTGAGTCTATCAAGCTGAATGTTTCATTTTCATGTGCTCTCTAAACTTTCACTAAAGAAGACACTATGTTCAAGAGAACTATTGATTCTTGAAACAAGATGTCTACATTAGTTTCAGTAAATTTCCTAACAGCGTTTTTGGGACATAATTTATTTACAATAAACACATATTTTAATTATGCCATCTTGATATGTTTATATGTGTGAAACCAACACCACAATCAAGATAACAAAAATGTCTGTCAACCCCAGAAGTTGAGTTCCAATAAGCTTTTGTTGTACACTTAATTGGCCCACTTTCTGGGATCATCTGGAAATGGTCTCTACCTTATCTTTTTAGTAGCATTTCCGGTGAGCATGCACTGTTATTACTTCATCAGTAAATCCTAGCTCCTTTCACCTACCCATCAACCCTCATGATTAAGCAGAGGTTTTAATTATGAGCAGCAGTAAGTGTATATTTAGTGTATCTTTATATTGTTCGGTTATTACTGCAGAGAAAATGGTGCTAATTTAATTCACAGTTGTCTTCCCTTTTTAATAATTCAGTCCTTTTCATTATCAGTTCTGGTTTTAGTCATTCTTTTTTTTTTTTGAAACGGAGTTTCGCTCTTGTTACCCAGGCTGGAGTGCAATGGCGCGATCTCGGTCACCGCAACCTCTGCCTCCTGGGTTCAGGCAATTCTCCTGCCTCAGCCTCCTAAATAGCTGGGATTACAGGCACGCACCACCACGCCCAGCTAGTTTTTTGTATTTTTAGTAGAGATGGGGTTTCACCATGTTGACCAAGATGGTCTCGATCTCTCGACCTCGTGATCCACCCGCCTCGGCCTCCCAAAGTGCTGGGATTACAGGCTTGAGCCACCGCGCCTGGCGGTTTTAGTCATTCTTATTTCCATTTTAAAAAAATAAACTTTATTGCTCACGCCTGTAATCCCAGCACTTTGGAGGCCGAGGCGTGCAGATCACGAGGTCAGGAGATTTTGACCATCCTCGCTAACAGGGTGAAACCCCATATCTATTAAAAATATAAAAAGGCCGGGCTCGGTGGCTCAAGCCTGTAATCCCAGCACTTTGGGAGGCCGAGGCGGGTGGATCACGAGGTCAAGAGATTGAGACCATCCTGGTCAACATGGTGAAACCCCGTCTCTACTAAAAATACAAAAAAATTAGCTGGGCATGGTGGCACGTGCCTGTAATCCCAGCTACTCAGGAGGCTGAGGCAGGAGAATTGCCTGAACCCGGGAGGCAGAGGTTGCGGTGAGCCGAGATTGTGCCGCTGTACTCCAGCCTGGGTGACAGAGTGAGACTCCATCTCAAAAAAAGAAAAAAAAAAGCTTTATTATCAGTATCCCCTTAAATGGGGTAACCATCTTATTCTCTGTAGTATGGTCATTGCTTCAGAACAATAGATGGCTGCCTTGAACCGTTTTAGGACTTGGGCATTGGTGACAGGTAGGGTTTTGTTTGTCAGGATTTCGTTTACTAGACTATTTATAGAATGCCACAATTTTGAAGCCTCTGTCTACCCTGTAATTTGGTTGTGGTGGTTTCCTGTATTCTAGTTCAGTTTTGCAATGGTCTGCAGAAGAGACCCTTAAACGCAACATTTTACTCCCATTGTCTAGAACTGATCAAATTAGAATAGATCAGAATCAGAATTAGAGCAATGACAAAGAGAAGGAGCATAAAAGAACCAGGACCTGAAATTGATAGGGAAGAGTTAATAGTCTTATGCCACCCTTAAAGTTTACTTTGTCTCTCTTATTTACCCTACCCCTAATATAAACATTGAGTGTCACTGGTGAACTAAAAGCCAGTAAATTTAGAATGTGTAGGAGTGGCTGATGCTGCTTGTCAGCCATGTGTAGGGCTGCAAATTAAATCTTAACTAGTCCTGCTTCTCTTGCAGATTAAGGACAACTGTGACTCTCTTTCTACTGTCATGTTTCCATTTTGCCCCAGGGGTAATTGTGATTTCACTTACCAAATAAAAGTCCATTTACTGGATTGTAAATCAAATAAACCCATTGGCGTTAACTTCAATAAGTTTGAAACATTCTGAAATCTTTAAAAACAAATTCTCAGACCGGGCAAGGTGGCTCAAGCCTGTAATCCCAGCACTTTGGGAGACCGAGGTGGGTGGATCACGAGGTCAAGAGATCGAGACCATCCCGGTCAACATGGTGAAACCCCGTCTCTACTAAAAATACAAAAAATTAGCTGGGCATGGTGGCACGTGCCTGTAATCCCAGCTACTCAGGAGGCTGAGGCAGGAGAATTGCCTGAGCCCAGGAGGCGGAGGTTATGGTGAGCCGAGATCGTGCCATTGCACTCCAGCCTGGGTAACAAGAGCGAAACACCTTCTCAAAACAACAACAACAAAAAAAAAACACAAATTCTCAGCCAAGTATGGTGGCTCAATATAATCCCAACACTTTGGGAAGCCGAGATGGGCGGATCACCTGAGTTCAGGAGTTTGAGACCAGCCTGGTTAACATGGTGAAACCCCTTTTCTACTAAAAATACAAAAAATTAGCAGCGCATGGTGGCATGTGCCTATAATCCAGCTACTCTGGAGACTAAGGCAGGAGAATCTCTTGAACCTGGGAGGCAGAGGTTCTAGTGAGCCAAGATCGTGCCATTGCACTTCATCTTGGGCAGTAAGAACAAAACTCCGTATCAAAAAATTATGAGCTGCATGTGGTGGTGCGTACCTTTAGTCCCTGCTACCCGGGAGGCTGAGACAGGAGAATTGCTTGTACCCGGGAGGTGGAGGTCGCAGTGAGCTGAGGTCACACCACTGTACTCCAGCCTGGTGACAGAGCAAGACTCTGTCTCAAAACAAAACAAAACCAAAAACAAATTATCTCAAAGGCCTCCATTCATCTCCATTATTGATGTTTAGAGTTTCCCCCACTGTTATCAACCTGCTTGTTTCCCCATTGTCATCAACCTCTTGTTTCCCCATTGTCACGTACAGAGTGCTACGTTATGTTAAAATTCCTTATTTACAGGGCAGCAACCTATTGGTGCAGGGTTTTTGGAAACATAGCCCTCCTAACACATTCATTGGTTTCGGTCCCCAGATCTAGTTCATAAGTTGGAGCAGCCCATAGGCATACCTGCCAAATACCTATTTTTGCATATTTGCTGTATCTACAGAGGGAATTGAGTGAAACTCTTAGCCAAGGTGCTAGGACTTCATTTGATCCTTGAAATTATTAGGGAGTTTTTGTTTTTTGTTGTTGGTTTTTTGTTTTTTGTTTTTTTTCCTGAAATTGCTGTCCTAGAAGGTAGAATTTGAGGATCATCATAATCAAATTTGGTGTTGGTTTTCCTTGGTGGAGTTCTGGCTCTGAACAGCTATCTTGACCAGATGTTTCTCATGACAGGTCTGGTGTCGGCGCGCCTGTTATTGGTGAGATCGATGGGGAGTATCGACATGACAGTCGACGAAATACCCTGGAGTGGTGCCTGCCTGTGATTGATGCCAAAAATAAGAGTGGCAGCCTGGAGTTTAGCATTGCTGGGCAGCCCAATGACTTCTTCCCTGTTCAAGTTTCCTTTGTCTCCAAGAAAAATTACTGTAACATACAGGTATTCCATTATAGTTGAGAATATGTATAGGGAAAGTGGTAGGACAATAGGAACATGTATAGGATGCCAGATAGGTAGTATGGCTTCGTGGTCAGATAAAGCTCAGAAAAAAACTGATGTCTTCTATAGGAGTTCCCTTTCTAATTTGTTATATGATCTTGGTCAAATCCTTTATCTGCTTAACCTCAGTTTTCTTCTCTAGATCAGACAAAGAAATGGAATATTAATACATATAAAAGTACTTGTGGATTGTTCAAGATTCATGTACACTTAATTGCCTTGTTTTTTTTTTAACCTCATATATTTTAAAATAGATTTGCAAAAACACCCAACACTTGATTTTGTAAGGCCTTGCTGTCACTTTTTTTATACCCAAAGAATGAAAGTTTTTTAATTTGGAAGACAAAATTACTGCCAAACAAAAAAAAATTCCATTCTATTACAAATGGAAATTATGTCACAGCTCCCTTTATTAGTACAAATAATCATGAGCAAATTCTGTTGCAAACTCTGTCCTTTAGGTAGACAAAACAGTGGAAATGTGTGAACTGTTCCTTCGGATCATTATTATTATTATTTGATACAGAGTCTCATTCTGTTGCCCAGGCTGGAGTGCAGTGGCACAATCTCGACTCACTTCAACCTCACCTCCCAAGTTCAAGCCTTCTGTCTCAGCCTCACAAGTAGCTAGGACTGCAGGCACTCACCACCAAGCCCAGCTAATTTTTATATTTTTAGTAGAAACAGGGTTTTTTTTTGTTTTTTTTGTTTTTTTGAGACGGAGTTTCGCTCTTGTTACCCCAGGCTGGAGTGCAATGGCGCGATCTCGGCTCACTGCAACCTCCACCTCCTGGCTTCAGGCAATTCTCCTGCCTCAGCCTCCTGAGTAGCTGGGATTACAGGCACACGCCACCATGCCCAGCTAATTTTTTGTATTTTTAGTACAGACGGGGTTTCACCATGTTGACCGGGATGGTCTCGATCTCTTGACCTCGTGATCCACCCGCCTCGGCCTCCCAAAGTGCTGGGATTACAGGCTGAGCCACCGCGCCCGGCCGAAACAGGGTTTTATCATATTGGTCAGGCTGGTCTCGAACTCCTGACCTCAGGTGATGTGCCTGGCCCAGATCATTATTTTTTAATGAGTTGTTTTTTCAGTTTTTGTTGTTGTTTTGAGACAGTTCTGCTCTGCCACCTAGGCTGGAGTACAGTGCAATCTTGGCTTACTGCAACCTCTGCCGCCTCCTGGGTTCAAGGGATTCTTCTGGCTCAGTCTCCTGAGTAGCTGGGACTACAGGCGTGCACCACCATGCCCACTAATTTCTTTTCTTTTCTTTTTTTTTTTTTTTTTTTTTTTTTTTTTTTTTTTTTTTTTGAGACGGAGTCTCGCTCTTGTTGCCCAGGCTGGAGTGCAATGGTGCAATCTTGGCTCACGGCAGCCTCCTCCTTTCAGGTTCAAGTGATTCTCCTGCCTCAACCTCCCGAGTAGCTGGACTGCAGGCATACGCCACCATGTCCGGCTAATTTTGTGTTTTTAGTATAGTAGACACAGGGTTTCTCCATTGGTCACGATGGTCTCAAGCTCTCGACCTCATGTGATCCACCTTTCTCAGCCTCCCAGAGTGCTGGGATTACAGGCATGAGCCACTGCACCTGGCCCTTTTTTTTTTTTTCTTCTAGTAGAGATGGGGTTTCACCATGTTGGCCAGGCTGGTGTCTAACTCCTGACCTCAGGTGATCTACCCACCTTAGCCTCCCTAAATGCCGGGATTACAGAAGTGAGCAATCATGCCTGGCCATTCTTCCAATATTTGAGTTTGTGTTACTAGGACCCAGTTTATGTTAATATTCCCTCTTTTTGACTTGCTTGTTGTTCTGGCCCTATTTTAGATTCCTGTATAGTCTTCATCTCCCCCATAAGTGCTTAGAAAGTTGCAGCTTCCTCCCTTGGATGATTTCAAAGAAAAGAACAGTTCCCTCTCCCTCTCCTACCAGTTAGTGGCATAACACCTTCAGTGTTGGAAGCCACTTTATTGAACCCAAGACACTAGATAGAAATGGATAAATTTGAGCCGGGCGCAGTGGCTCACGCCTGTAATCCCAGCACTTTGGGAGGCCGAGGTGGGTGGATCACAAGGTCAAAAGATCGAGACCATCCTGGTCAACATGGTGAAACCCCGTCTCTACTAAAAATACAAAAAATTAGCTGGGCATGGTGGCGCGTGCCTGTAATCCCAGCTACTCAGGAGGCTGAGGCAGGAGAATTGCCTGAACCCAAGAGGCGGAGGTTGCAGTGAGCCGAGATCGCGCCATTGCACTCCAGCCTGGGTAACAAGAGCAAAACTCTGTCTCAAAAAACAATAATAATAATAAGAAGAAATGGATAAATTTTCCTATTGGGGCTATTCATAGATTAGGACAGTATAATGGCTCTCCCAAAACCTCATTCGAAAATACGAATCAGTGGTTCAAGTGTGGTGTTGGTGCCACTATAGATACCATTGTTACAGGTAATTAAACTAGACATTTATTTATTTATTTAAAAAGGGAAAACCTCATTAGAAGGACCCAGCCATGCCTAAAAAATGATAGAGCAGCTTACTGGGGCTTAACATGAGACTTTGAGAGCAGAGCAAATGAATAATGTGAAGAGCTGGAACATTGCATTTTGGGTCAGAATTGTAATATTTCATCCTGATAGAATGTCTGTGAACTTCATAGGTTATATAGGGCTGGGCTGGGTTGGGGTGTGGCCACTGATTTTGGAACTTTTACTTACTATTAATGCTACTGTAC